TTGGATCCTCTGTAAGTCCTGGAAAATACCCAGGGTCTTGCACTTTAAAATTGCACTCCGGGTTGGAGTGGGTGCTCCTGTGACGGCGCCGCTGGAGTTCATGATTTATTATATTGAGTTCCGAACAACCGAAATAAATTTTATTTGCTCGCGGCGAACACGATCTGTCCCACTGTGCGCTCAGAACCGTAGCGGAATTGTGGAATGTATATATGTATGAAGCTAGAAGTCTATGTGCGAGCGAATGCACTTGCGTTGTGGATCGTATGTTTGTATGAAGTCTATGCGCGGGCGAATGTACTTGCGTTGTGGATTGTAAATATGTATGTCTGCTTGTGAACTAACGTTATGTTTATGCCTGTATGTATGTATAATATAATAATATATTATAATTTGTTTATTATTGTAAATAAACTTATTAGACACGTATGATAATTCGATAATGATAATTTCAAATAACACTGTTTACAAAATTGTTTTGTTTTTGTTTTAGTAATTTGTTTATGTGTATATAAATATATTAACGATCACGTCGGGGTCACCAATGTTTGGTCATCGAGAGTTTTAAATTGAACGTTATAAACTTTATTCGGGCCGCATATGAAATTAGGATTTATGTACAATATTTGAAATCCAATTTAGGATGCGAGCGCAGTAAAAGTACGAACGAGAGTGGCGCCAACCTTGCAGAATAGGCTGAGCGGAATGCTCGCTAACCATAAGCGCCGAAGTAGCAAAGCCGAGCGGCCGAAAGAGAGTCGGCTTGCGACCAGAAAAACATCAGTTACTTATTAATTGTTGTGTTTAAATTAGTTGCTTGCTGCTTGACCCGACAGACATCGTTATATCCCTACAAAATCAGAAGTGGGCCGATCTCGTGCCAAATAAACAATTAAAGACAATTAAGTAAAACGAAAATGAACGTAAGCAACGCATCAATTGCGCAATTAAAACGGTGGTCAAGTGTGTTACGGTTACCAACAACGGGAACGAAGCGCGAATTAATATTGCGTTTGGATAAAATGTCAGCGGAAGCGCATAATTATCTGGAATCAATTAGGAATCAAGACGAAGACGGCGATGGAAACAACGACGAAGACGAATATGAAGAGGATTTGGAATCAGAAAGCTACGAAGATGACAACGATAATAGCGACGAAGACGGAGGCAAAAACAACAACAAAGCTGGAGCCGAAGGAAACGAAAAAGCCAGAGGCGAAGGAAACGACAAACACGGAGGTGGAACTAAAGGAAAAGATGGCGATAAAAATGAAAGCAAAGTTGGTGGCGATCGAAGCGGAAAAGACGGAGGCAAAAGGAACAGCAAAGATGGAGACGAAAGCAGCAGGAAAGACGCAGGCGAAAACAACAAAAGCGACGGCGGCAGAAACAACGACCACGACGGCGACGAAAACCACAACAATGACGACGGCGAGGGAGAAGACAAAGATGAATATCATGCACGCAATGACAGGAATGAACCCGGCAGCAGCGGCACAAAAGAAGGCGCCACTGAACAGGTGAAAAAAGGCCACGTTGCGAAGTCGGAGCTTTTGGAATTTCACAACCCAAGCATCGACATTTCATTGGGTATGGCAACACAGGTTGTGAGTGATTTTTCGCGCGAAACTTGCGCACGAAAATGGATTACGCAAATGAAGAATATTGCAACCATTTATGGAATTAGTGGACAATACATTAAAATGATGATGATTAGTAAAAAAAGGAAACGCAAACGTGTGGCTACATGCAAACCCGGAGCGTATCATGCTACCGCTGGAGGAGTTAACCGCGGAACTAATTTCAATGTTTTTGGATAAAGTTTCGAAGTTAGAGGCAAGGCGTCAATTCGAGAACCGGAAATGGAGTTTCGGTGAAAGTTTTGGAAGTTACGTGGACGATAAAGTGATGCTTGGTCATTGAATCATTGAAGGAATTCCTAATCAAGTGCTGCGTAATCAGGCACATATTCAGTGCTTCGAATATCTTGCACGTATGAAACGTGCATTTGCGGAGGTGAAGTTGCCAAAATCTTATGGTGACAAAAAGGAGGCAGCAGCGAACAGCAGCGTTGCTATAATTGCAATGCTAAAGGACATTGGGCGAAGGAGTGCAGGAAGCCAAGACGAAAGAAAGGATCGTGCTATGCATGTGGCGAAATGGGACATTTTGTGGCGAAGTGCCTGAAAAACAAAATTAAGAGCGAGGTCAAGAACAATTATGTAAGGTAATTTGAAATTTACTTTAAGAATAACACTAATACCAGGTTAATTACAGAATGCCTCATGGATACAGGAAGCTCAATTTCGTTTATTAAAATTTCTAAAGTACCCAAAAATGTTTGTAAAATGCCAGTTTTAAGTTCATATCATGGAATAAATGAAAGTTTTTGGAAACTTATGAAAGAATGTTATGTTATATAAAGAAAAAATGTAATAAAGTACGTTTTCATTAAGTTATTGTGGCAAACAAATCTATGAGTCATGATGTAGTTCTGGGAAGGGATTAAATATGTTACAATAAAGGATGATCTACTATTATTTGCACCTCGACGCCTTCCCACATGAGCGCCCGGGGCGTATGCATTTATGGCCACGTCCATAGCCTCCAGCGTCCTACACCGCTGCTCCAAAAATTCGGCCTTCGACTCCCAAGTAGGGATGGCGTCTGAACCTGAGGAGTTTTGACTCTCCTCCCACTTGGCCTGTGTAGCTGGGTCCAACCTTGGAAGCAGAACTTGGACGATGATGCAGCTGGCGATCTGAACTGATGTACCCAAATTCTGTAAGGCTCGCATATGGGCATTAAATTTGTCCGAAAGACCTCGAAGAGCTGCTATTGAGCCACTTTCCAACAGACTGAGACCCAGAATCTCGTTCACGTGTGCCTGAAATATTAAGCGACGGTTATTAAATCATTTCTCCAATAAGTTCAGCGCATTATCATAGTTCTCGTCGGAGACTTCCAAGGAACGAACTGCTCCGAAAGCGGACTCCCGAGGGCAAGATCGCAACCTTTGCAGCTTTTCCACCTTACTGATGCTCGGATTACCGCCGACGATTGTACAGAAAATCGAGTAAAACACAGGCCATTCAGAGTAGCCACCGCTGAAGGTAGGAAGAGGCAAGGGAGGCAAAGCTTGAAACTTTTGACCTGACCCTCAGTCAACCCGCATGGTGGACATTCCGTTAGCTAGGGAGGAGTGGGCAGCAATTCGGGAAGAGCGAAGGGTCGTCTCGTGCTCAATTTCGGCCTGCATTGTCACTATCAGCTCCGAGACAGTCCATCGGAGCTCACTACTGATCTGCGAAATGTCCAAATCCTCAAGCTCCCCGTGGATGGCCTTGAAGTCGCTGAACATGGCGACTATCTGACCATGACGCACGTTGAGCATGGCATCGTCCACCTTGGAAACAGGCTGAAGAGCTCTTTGGATCCTCTGCAAGTCCTGGAGAATACCCAGGGCCTTGCACTTTAGAATAGCACTACGGGTTGGAGTGGGTGCTCCTTTGTCTGCGCTGCTTTTGTTCATGGTTAATTTATTAAGTTCCGACCAACCCGAAGTAAATAATTCCGGCGCCAAATTTTATCGCTCCAAATTTATTTGCTCGCGACGAACACGACTTGTCCCACTGTGCGCTCAGAACCGTAGCGGAATGTGGAACGTATATATATATGAAGTCTATGCGCGGTCGAATGCACTTGCATTGTGGAACGTAAATATGTATGTGTGCCAATAATAAATAATTAACCGAGCCACAACTGAACTGCCGTTAGGTTTATGTTTTGTTCTTAATTTGAATTTGTTTATTATTTTATATAAACCTGATTGCTTATTAGCACCAAAACCGTTCATGTAATTTATAATCTGCACTACATATGTTTTCGCGGGAATAGTTTGGTTTAGTTTTAGTTTCTATAGCTCTCTATATATATCTATATCTTTCTAACTATATCACGTCGGGGTCACCAATGTTTGGTCATTGAGCGTTTTCAATGCCGTAAATAAAGACGAATTTCTATTTAATATGACGTTATAAAAATGTTTATTTCTGCATGCAGATGAAACTGGATGATCCGCAGATAGATCAGCTTATGGTGCATGCAGGGACGAAAGTAATATACACAGAGAGGGCAGCCCGACATGTCACCTCGAGCTAAAGCTCTCGAAAGTGGAGAGGGCGGCCCGACCTAGACATTGCCGAGCTAAAACTCTCTAAAGAAAGTCCGTTGAGTCGAGCGGCCGAGAGAGAGTCGGCTTGCGATCAACTAGCTTTTGTATAAACTTAAGTCTAATAAATAAACATTACCAAACAGTACGCTAACATATTTAAACATTAAAATTACACCGGTGGGCTGCTGCCTGACCCGACATTCCCCCCTCCGTTGGGGCCTGTCCTCCAACTACATTCGTAAGGGGCGAGGTACAGCTTAATCCGCTCCCAGCGAAGCACTCCAACCCGAAGAGGGATCAGCTCCACAGCTCTGGCCAGCGGCCACATCCATAGCCTCCAAAGTCCTGCATCGCTGCTCCAGAAACTCTGCCAGCGACTCCCAAGTAGGAATGGCGTCGGAACTTGAATAATTTAGACTCTCCTCCCACTTAACCTGGGTAGCTGGGTCCAACCGTTGAAGAAGCACCTGGACAATGATGCAGACGGCTACCTCATTTGTCGAACCCAAGTTCTTCAGAGTTCTCATATGGGGATTGAATTTGTCGGATAACCCTCGAAGACGTGTTATTGAATCGCCTCCCATTGAATCGCATGTTTGGCTACATGCAATAGTTTGCTTTTCCTTTTATTTTACTAATCATCATCATTTTAATGTATTTTCCATTAACTCCATGAATGGTTGCAATATTCTTCATTTGCGTAATCCATTTTCGTGCGCAAGTTTCGCCCGAAAAATCACTCACAACTTGTGTTGCCATGCCCAATGAAATGTCGATGCTTGGGTTGTGAAATTCCACAACTCCGACTTCGCAACGTGGCCTTTTTTCACTTCTTCAGTGGCGCCTTCTTTTGCGCCGCTGTTGCCGGCTTCATTCCCGTCATTGCGTGCATAATTTTCATTTTTGTCTTCTCCCTCGTCGCCGTCTTTGTTGTTGTTTTCGCCGCCGCCATGGTTGTTGTTTCCGCCGTCGCTGTTGTTGTTTTCGCCTGCGTCTTTCCTGCTGCTTTCGCCTTCATCTTTGCAGTTCCTTTTTCCTCCGTCGGAAAAGCGGAAAAGCTTCGATCGCCGACAACTTTGTTCTCATTTTTATCGCCATCTTTTCCTTTAGTTTCACCTCCGTGTTTGTCGTTTCCTTCGACTCCAGCTTTGTCGTCGTTGTTGCCTCCGTCTTCGTCGCCATTATCGCTGTCATTTTCTTGGCTTTTTAATTCCAGATCCTCTTCATATTCGTCTCCATCGTTGTCTCCATCGCCGTCTTTATCTTGATTCATGATTGATTTCAGATAATTACGCTTTTCCGTTGAAATTTTATTTAAGCGCAATACTAATTCCCGCTTCGTTCCCGTGGTCGGTAGCCGTAACACACTTAGCCACCTTTTTAACTGCGAAATCGATGCGTTGTTCATGTCCATTTTTGATTAATTTAATTATTTCTAAATGTTTAATTGGCACGAGATCGGCCACTTCTGATTTTGTAGGGCTATAATAAATGTCCCAAGCAGAACACCACACTTTGCTTTTTATAATTCCTTTATTAGTCTTGACTAGATCCGCTTCAGACTGCTGCAGGTGTCCGACTCGCTCCGCCTATACTCGTGATGAGCATCAACCCTCATTACTCGCTGAAAAAGCAATGAGAGCGTGAGAGTACATGAGAGAGAGCCAGAACCGACAACAAGCAACGACAACAGTTTACCGTTATGCGATACACTTATAGCTAATATATATGTATATATATATACCCACAAGTAGCAATCCTGCTACAGCATTACTATTGAATTATTGTAATTACGGCCGTATTAATGTAAACCATCAACGAAGATATCTTTTTTTAATTTTTATGGTTATTGAAAACCACCTTCTTGTAAAATATGTATATTTAATTATGTTAATTTATTATATAAGAAATTTCCCCAAATTATAACGTTAACGAAAATAAATTTTTAATAAATCTTTTGTTTGGGCACCGGAAGGAATCTCGTCACCTATTTTAACAACATTTAGCCACTTTCAATATTGACCTTAGGCAAGGAATGTTTTCACCACCTCACAATTCTATTTCGGAATTCTTCTCAAAGTCCCTTATCGACTTGATCTACGACAATTGGCGTGACGACCATGTCCCTACTGAAGATACAAAAAGCACGTCCACTTTCCCTGAGCACGGCTGGACCCTGTTAGTAGATCGAAGTACCTTCAGGACGTGGGACGCGATATATATATAGTAACATACATATCAACAAAATTTCTTTAAGGGGACCCCCCCCCCCCATACTCGATTTTAAATTTTGACGATTTTCAATGGGCTGGCAAATGAACATAAATTATTTTTTAGGGTTGTAACTGTGCTTACATATGGTATATTAAGACACAAAAAGGAAGAAAATCATTTCACAGAATTTTTTTTGTTTTGTTTTTTTTGTTGTTTTTTGTGATCAAAGAAAAGCCCTTCTTTTCGGCGGCGCATGTGATTTCCGCTCACTGGAACATCTGAATCCAAAAATTCCAACGGGATTAGAAAAAGTACATGTTTGGCTCTCGTATGAACTAGGATTATTAGCTTCGCTCAAAAATTAACAAAATGGCGGACCTTTGAAATTTTTTTTTGAAAATTTCCATTTTTTTCAGACACAAATCGAGTTAAAAAGTAAAGAAGATCTTCACCGATTTGATTTACCCTAGTGCATACGAGAGCTATATATGTATAGAATAACGTGTTAAAATTTGGAACCGATTGGATTAATAGTTTTTGAGTAACCTTATGCGCCAGTCGTAAAAACACTGTTTCGAGAAAAACGCGTTTAAAGTTTTGACACGGCTCTCGCCGTCGCCTGAGGCTTCCACCATAAATCGGCTATATCTTCAAGAGTTTTTGAAATTTTTACTTGAAATTTTCAGGGAACATTCTTGAATAGTTACAAGTTCGAATTAAATTAGAAAAAAAAAATCTATTTTTTAAAACCGATAATGGGGGGGGGGTCCCCTTAAGTGTGTATCAGTAAATTTTGTAAACCGAAGCTGAAGCCTTTTTTATTGAAATTCGTAACCCAGCTGCAAATACGCAGCTACGTAACCGTAGCCTCATTCCAATTTTTGTAAAAACATAATCATTTAATTATTCCAATTCGGCTGAAAACAGCCTCATCTCAGATTTCCAATTTCTAAGAGTCACTTCAGATTGAAAACCAAAACAATATTTGGGTAAACAGAATCCCGACTCAAATCTTTCTTACTCCTTTTAAGTGAATTTAAACTAAACAGCTCAAACCATTCTTAAATGGGTACCCACTTCACAGGAAATTTTACATTTTCTTGTCACCTCGATTAATGGAGATCCAAAGTCTTCCATGTCAACTGATATCTTAAGTAAAAAGTTCCGACTCAATCTATTCTCTCCAGAAAACAACGCCTCTCAGAGACAAAAGCTTCTTTCGAGCTTTGATTTGCAAAAAGCTTCAGCACGGGTAGCTATAAAAAGGACTTAGAGCCCCAAAGATAAGTTAGTTCTGAAATTCTAACATCCTAAACAGTTGTTTTATTGTTAAATAAAAATATATTTTTCAAACTATTTTGAAGAAGATATTTAATTATATATATATATATATTATATCGACCCTTTATATTCGAAAAATATAAAGTTGCAATGCCCAATTTTCTTTAACCATTTCTTACCTCGAATATTATTATTTTTTTTTTTTTTTCATTCAAAGTCAATTCTTTAATTTTTTTTTTTTTTTGAATTGAGATTGTTTATGCTCCTAAACTGGGAGGGTGTCCCATTTCAAGGAAGGTAATCAAACAAACTTCTATAGTATTTTTTTTGGTATTTTGTTATATTTTTTTGAGAGTCAGATTGCTCAGGCTTCGCAAGTATGGAGTTTGTTTCTCTTCAAAAAACAAGCGAAACTCCAGTAGTAATTTTTTATTCCGGTTTTATTTTTATACTTCTACTTAAATTCAGATTTTTTTGTTTTCGTAAGCTGGAAGCGAATAACTCTTAAAGGAAGAACCTAATTTGAATTTTGTTTGAATCTTTGGTAATTTTTAGATTGAGTTGGAACAAGCTTTGGCTGTACGGAGCTTTTCCCTCTCCAAATAAGACACTCGAAATTTATTAAATAATTGTAGTTCCTTGGCTAGGAAGAATAAAATATAATAAATAGGCTTTTAACTAATGGCGAGAGTTCTGAAGGATAAGTCCCAAATAAAATTAATAATTAATAATTTCATAACGAAAATTATTAATTTACCTTTATCAATCAACAATACCCATACAAATGTATATATAATTTCATTACGTAAAAAAACATCCATTACCCCACTAAAATTATCAGACAAATTTAAAGTAACAATTATAATAATCGTTCGAGATCGTGGCGGTTAGACAAAGTCTAATTCCCACAACCCAGGGAATCTCATAGTTGCACCATTTGCAATGAAGCTAATGAGGAAACATAATGGACTAAGACCACATGTAGGCATCAATTCCTTTTGAGGTGTCTCACAACTTGGCTTGAAACCAACGCCACTTGTTCACTCTACAGAAGAGCATGTAGTAGAAGCGAATTAGCGAATACTGAAGCAGGTGAGGCCCGACAGTCGATCGATGTAGTGCCATCGACTGGCAATAGTCCGCGTACAGCCACCGTTCCGCGTACAGGCACCGTTCCGCGTACACGTCCTCAAACCAGGCAGGGCTTTCGTAATAATCGAGTTGCCACCACCATTCCCAGAGTAAATCGGAATACCATGCAGAATCCCGAAAGGGCGAACCATACGCGAAGTTCTTCTGCTGACAACGGCGTCTCAAAAGAGCGGGTACACCAAATAATTGCAGAGGCCTTAGAAAATCAGATGTGGAGCTTGGCAGCGTCAATCTTTAATCAAATTAGTGCCACTATGGAAAATTTAAATTTAGGTCCAAGTCGTAGAGGATCAGGGGGTGAAATTCCGAATGAGATAATGAGGTGCCCAGTTTTGTGTCTAGGAGTAACCCACCTCGCGATAATTTCCGAGAAAACGTTCCGGCAAGAAACGTTTAAGCAAACACTCTGTGGATAGACCAGATAGAGTATCTAGTGTAATTCAAACTGGAACGTCAAATGTAGCGGTTGCAATGGGGAAATTCCTATCGAGGATTTTATATATCGAGTAAATATTTTAACCACTCAGTGTCTAGATGGAAATTATGATTTGTTGTTCCAATTTACAAACTTATTATTTACGGGTCCGGCATTGAAGTTTTATTGGTGAGTACATCGGTCTCTCGATCTCACAAATTGGTTTTGTTTGTATGACCGAGTAAGGGAAAGATATCTAGATCAACGATCTGACCGCGATATCAAAGAATTTCTACGACGTCAGAAGCAGGGAAAAACAGAAACCTTTGATAACTTCCTAGATTCGATGTTAGGGATTGCGGACGCGTTAAGGGATCCGTTGTCTGACTCCGAAATAATGGAAGTGGTTCGACATAATCTTAGGTCGGAGTGGAATCACTAGTTTTTGCATGATCCAACACCAACCTTGGCTGCGTTACGCACTGAATGCCACAGTCACAAGAATTTTTGAAAGGGTTTTGCAAAAGAGCCGTCCCGCGAAATATTACTCAGAAATTCAATTCATTAACCGGAAGGAGGAGGTTTTTGAAGACGACCAGGAATCAAATAAAGTTTGTGCCTGTCGTTCGATGGACAAAATCAAAGTTTGGAATTGTGATGAAATAGAACATCGCTATACAGATTGTCTAAAAATGCGTCGCATCCTTTGTTGTGGGTGTGGGTCGATTAACATTTATAAACTCAATTGTTCGAAATGTCATCCCGGGTCGGAAAACCGATCTCGGAATATTCGCCAAAACGAGTATAGGCGAGTATCCTTCAAGTCTCGGAACTAATCAAATCAGAACTCAATGAAGATGAACTTAAACTTAACTTATGGTAAACCTCTTCAAGTCTCGGAACCAATCAAATCAGAACTCAATGAAGACGAACTTAGCTTAAACCATATCAAATTTACTACCTATCATATACGTCTAGACAAGCTGCTATCTGACTGCGAAAGGAAGGACAGTGCAGTGAAGGACCGCATTCAAAATTATTTTAGAAACGTTCGGGAGCTAAAGAAAGTCGTAATTTCATCACTCTTACACAAGCATAACGACATTCGTCCCTTTTCACAAATATAAATTTTAGGGCAATCATATTTAGCTCTACTGGATGGCGCGGCCAGCGAAAGTGTAATTTAGTAAAAAGCATACTGGCAGAGAAAC